CTTTGCACACACGTACGCGGGAAAAACGGACATCTTTCTCTCTCTCCACACACACACACTTCTTTTTTGTATACTTGAATTTCTATTTAGTTTAACTAATAATAGCCATTCATTCATACCATGGACCGAAAATGTGAGCAACAATGATATTTTGAAGAGGATGAAAACAATAAGGAAGCTTATACTTAACATCAGGAAGAGGCAGCTGAAATTTCTGGGACGCGTAATGAGAAAGGATGGCTTGGAGAATCTGATACTCACAGGTCGAATAGAGGGAAAGAGAGACAATGTAAAGCAACGCCTGACATAACTGGCGGGCTTAAGCAAGTGGATGAAAGAACGTGGTTTGGGGGAGGTGACAGAGGGACAAAACTTATTGAGATCTACAATGGATAGGAGGAAGTGGAGAGCCATGATCGCCTACGTCCTGAAGAGATACGGCACATGAAAAGAAATTATGTTCATAAAAGCATACAAAAATGTATGTTTATGAACTTTTCAGTGGTGCTTAAGTAGGTTTTCTTTTAATTAATGCGATAATCGGTATTTTACTGTATTGAACATTTCTCTCCAAAGAGAAATACAAAAATCATAGAAACTGATCCTTTTTGCAGGAAATATGATTTCTAAGGGTTACTTTAAGTAAGTTCCCGATCTCATCGGCTTTTAAATACATTTGAAACATTCAATCGCAACAGATTTTATTGAATTTGTTTTTTAAATTTAACACTGTGGGAAAACGATATGTAGATGTTTATGAAAAATTTCTCAGAGTTAACCCGTAGAAAAAGACAATATTTATAAAGGTAAAACACAATAGGAAAACTGTATTATTAGCCGACGCGTTTCGTCTAATGTGGATTTTTTCAAGGCAAAAACAAATTAACTAATGCACTAGTCATACATAGAAATAAATTCAACCACAATTTTGATTTTAAAAATGCTACAATCATAAAAAATAGAAAATAACTCACTCAGAAGGAAAATCCTCGACAGTGCCGCCATTGAATATTATCCAAATATTAATCTACGCCCGATTTTTTCCTATTTCACCTTTCCTAACAGAATTACTACTCTCCCAAACAAACGTACACAACTGTATCAAGAAATCAAAGGAAAATGGTTGAATCCGTCAACACAATAAAAAAAAATACAATATTTCCACACGTGACAGTAATTGACGTAATTTTTAGTTAACAGTTTGAAAATAGCGTTTTCTAAATTCTTCCAGTTGCTAAGGACATTTTGTTTTATTATTAATAGTTATTTTGTTTTAATAAATTCATTTCGTTTTTGCCTTGAAAACGTCCACATTGGACGAAACGCGTCGGCTAATATTACAGTTTTCCTATTGTCTTTTACCTTTATAAATAGATGTTTATATATCAAGATCACTTCTAAGGGAATCTATGACCAAAGCGGGAAAAATTTTTCATCCTTCAAAGTCTGATGACGTTCTAAAGAACAAAACGCGTCACACAAAAACGCTTTCCACTTTTGTCATTTCCTCGAAAATGAACAGATAAATACTTAAGTTATTTTTCTAAAATGCTAACCAAGGAATTTAACCAATACAATTTTGATTTCATTACCATCGAAACAAACTCTAAAATATATATGCAGAAATATTGATGAGATTAAATATTAAAGGCCGGTCATTTCAATCACTGACTCAAATAACAACATAGCTTAAAAAAAACAAAAAAACAGGCCAATATTTAATTATTTTAACAGTGAGAACAAGATAGAAACTTCCAGCGTTTAGAATTGGTAAAATAAATAATGCTTAACATTGACTTGTCAAAACATTTTGAAGAAGATTGACGCTTATAAAAATCGAGATTAAAACGTAAGTAATATTTTAAAAAATAGAGTAAGACCTCACCATCCGCGGAATCGCTAACCGCGATTTCACTTATTTTTAATAACAACATGTAACAAAATCAATTTAAATATCCTGAGTCATCAGTTCTTGAGGGGAAAAGTGCAAATTGATAATAATAATATTTCATTGGCTACTGAAATATTTTGGTCGAATTCATGTCATTTTTATATTTCGTTTGTCAGATATATTCATGCGAGAGTTGTCTCCTTTGTTATCGTATGAGCTTATGGCAATATTTTGTTATATTTAATATATATATATATATATATATATATAGATATATAGATAGATAGATGATTTGCTATTATCTGTGAGTGGGGGGACCGATTGATTGTACATAACAATATTATACTGTACTGAACATTTCTCCCCAAAGAAAAATACAGAAATCATAGAAACTGATCCTTTTGCAGGAAATATGATTTCTAAGGGTAACTTTAAATAATGTAATGTAAATTTAATCCTTATCCTGCAAACTACTGCTTCCATATTTGTTTCTAATAGTTACTTATGTGGCTTATTTCTTTGACCATAATGACTTTGGTTTTTAATTAAATTATTTGATTAAAAACAAAAATAACAATTCCCTGATTCCGCCTCCATTAATGAGCTATAGATTGAATTATATATATATATATATATATATATATATATATATATATATATATATATATATTTTTCATAAAATTTGTTTCTGAAGTATCATTCTTATACAGATTTCATGGATATCATTAAAAATTGAAATTTCACACGTTGACCGTAAGAGGTCAATTATAAAATCTCACGTCAAACTTTGGTAATAAAAAACTTTTAGGGGTTGATTTACAGCTTCAAGTCTTAACATTGTTTCCATACTAAGAGTATTAATGCAAATAAGCCCGTTTTATTCCCAACTTGTGCTTGGAAGTGAATGTTTTAAATGCTAATATTTATAGTGATTTACTTAGCGTAGGTCGAAAGGGTAGCGCACCTGGTGAGGACCAAACTCACTACTCGGGAGTAATTGGTATGGGGAGACAAGCCTGCCAATCATTACACCATATCGAAGTGTACACTGGTGGGGGACGAGGAAGAGGGTTTTTCTTTCTCTTTCTCTCTTGTCGAACTCTCTTGCCTCCAGGCGGAGAGTAACCCAGACGAGGCTATGCTGAAGGTAGACAAACCTCGTATATGGGATCTACGGGCAATTTTTTCCAGAGCCTACGGGCAAGGAATACCCCACGTTAAAAACTGCCCTTGTGCCACATCTTGCCTTGTGGGGAGGTTGGTAAAAAAGAGGTGCACATTGGGTATCTTCAGCAGGTTTAGAGAAAAATTACATTTTAGTAGGACCTGTTGATCTAGGCTGGTTGATATTAATTTCACATTTTAAGAAAAAACAAAAAACCGGATGTGAACTCACACATGCACTCACTAAAAACGTTTACAGTAATAAGAAAATGACTCTCTCGTAACCATGTTGTTTATCTGATAAACAAACAAGTAATCAAAACAAGAGCAGATAACCGCAATTATCACAATCCATTTGATGAAAGCGAAATTAACAAGAACAATACTTTTAAAATTTCAAATAACTTTTTGTCCGCCATGTTTGATAATAAGGAAATTGCTAATGTTGTGATTAAATAATTTCTTTTCATTTTTTTTTGTTCATCTCAAACAAACATTTACATTGTTTTTTTTTGTTTTTTTTAATATTAAAAAAAAGGGATTTTTAAAGTGTCTTTTGACGAATTACCTTTCACTTCTATTTATATATTAAATTAGATATCTTTTCCCTTGTTATTTTTTTTAAAGATATCACCTTAACAAAAGATCTTATGACGAGTGAGGGGAAATAATTGAAAGATTGTATAGTTTCAATTTTCCAAGTGGGGAGGGCCTATCTGTTTTAACAATCTGACAATATCCTGGTTTTTCTCTGGTCACCTGTATGAAACGTGCAAGTATTTCAGTTACAGGGTATAATGAGAAAAGGCACAGGTGAATTCTCTCTTTATTAATAGGGACATTTTTTTTTTTGAATTCTGGGAAGGCATTTAATAAGGATGTGTAGATAGCATAATGGTTAGCGTCTCAGCGAGAACTAGGTGAGCTGAGTTTGAATTCCATTCGCACTCGTTGCATTCACTTTCACACAAATACCATTTGGAAAGATATGAATCCATCTTTTGTCCCGTTCAACTGTGGGTTAAATAGCAGTGCAAACTGGAGCCTCTAGCCATGGTTGGCAAACAGTCTAGAACAAAGAAAACTCTGAATTCAAAACCATATATTGCCAGGTGGGGCTCATATCTGAACTGTAATTAAGATCTGTTCAGTATAGTTGCAGTATAAGCCACTGGTTGGTTCTGTGGGTGTGGAAGAAACGCAAACGGGCCTGATAAGATATGTATACTTGGAAGTCAGCAGCCATGTTGAAAATGAAAAATCACACTGATTTGCAGTGTATCAACAGTTCTGAAGATGTTTAATAATGTAATAATTAAAATTAAAAAAAAGTCACAAAAATGTCTTTATGAATTAATTGGTAAAGTTTAACACCTGTACTTGCAAAAAAAAAAAAGTGTCAAAAGGACAGTTTTCTCTTGAAACCGTCATTACTATATGCTTCCTTAGCAATTTTTACTTTTATAAAAAGCTATTTTTTTAAGTTTGATAAAACCCAAACATATAAAACTGAATTTACGTATTCTGTCTTTTTTCTCAAGAATTGTCATGTAAGTAAATAGTAATATTGGTACTAAGAGGTAAAAAAGGTCTTTTTGACAACTGTTTCTGTGTGGGTCCTACTTCCGTTGAAGTGCCATGCACACTTAGCCAATAATATTTCTTTTCAATTCTTAATTGACTTGGCAGAAGAAATCCTGTAACAATCTGCCATTACTTTTTGTGGTAGGCTGGTTGCAAAACTAAGGCTATAAGATCCAGTGTGTATCTATATATATATATATATATATATATATATATATAATCACAAGTAGTTGGGAGGAGAATAGATGGATTCGTAACTTTCTCAAGGGTAATTTGAGCATAAGTGAATGTAATGAACCCAACTGGTATTTGAACTTGGTTCTTCGATTCCTCATTCTATTACATAACTTGCACATCCAAGCTTACAGCACCTTGTATTCCCAAGTGGTCACCCATCTCGGTACTGACCTAGCCTGACATTGCTTAACTTTGGAGATTACTTTTGTTGGTACATTTGTTAAACTTTGCCAATTAATCATTGTTTCATTTTGTTTGCACTTCATTAGTTATACAAGGAGAATTTCTTTTCTAGTATCCTCACCTTTGTTGTTTTTAGCACAAAGATTTGACTGAAGTTTTCTTTAGATATATGTTACATCTAGTAATTTTTGAGTATGATTTCTCTCTCTCTCTCTCTCACACACACATTAGGTTGACTGATTGATTTGTTTTTATGGCTTATCAACCTTTTGCAGGCTATTTAAAGCCAGAAAATATTTCTAGATTGTAAGAAATAGTTTTTTTTGTTTTTTTTTTTAAATAACAATGATTCAGTAGATTTAATAGACAAGTATTATTAATTAACCCATAGCTTGGGGAAGATGATGTGGATTCATACCCTTTCCCAAGGGTATTTGTACATAATTGAATATAATGAACTAGACTGGAGTTGAAACTCGGCTCTCTAATTCCCAATTCTGATTCATTATCCATTACACCAACCACTCATCCAAGCTTACAGCACTTGGTATTTCCAAGCAATCACCCATCTAGGTACTGACCAAGCTTGATGTTGCTTAACTTCAGGGATCACATGAGACATAATGTCTCATATTTAACATTATATTTTATTGAATTCTTGACTTTGTCACTTAATAGCAGCTAGTGGGTGTGCACAGCCTCCAAGTCCCTCATCTCAAATGTGGCTATTACTGGCTTGTCTGCAATGTCTAAGGGAGCCTGCTCTCTTCCTGTGTGAATGGGTGTTTATATATCTTTGTCATGCAAATCTTTCTCTCCTATGTATCCCAGGTGCAGATAGGCTAACATATGTTCAGAAGTTGGTGTTGTCACTGAGTGAATCCCAGATTTCCACACCTAGCTAAGGCAGTCAGCCCTCAGGTCAATCCTGCACCTGGCTTCTCTGAGGGGAAACTGTGTGCAAAGTCTCCTCTGATATGATCTGAGATCCATACTATACCCACAAGATTGGTAAAATAACCTCATTTTCTAGTCTGGTCTTGTGGTAGGCTATGCCAAGTAAATATATACAAGGTGTGTATACACTTCCAAAGCCTAACTTCCTGCAAATGTTTGCTGTTGGCTTGAAACTTTGGGTTTGTACACTGTTCCATTTAAGGTCATGACAAAATGCAACAGAGAGGTCAGCTGAAATATTCTAAATTTAAGAAAGATTCAAACAAAAATTTATCAAATAATCAGGAAGATGGTTGCAATCAAAACAAAATAAGTAAGGGAAATCTTTTTATTCCATGAATTACTCTGAGAATTCAAAGTTTTCTAATTCTAATTTTTTTGGTTAACCTAGCAATATTATGAGCTCAAGAAATCCTTCAGAATATCCTGGGGTGGTATTATTCAGGCAGGAGGGGGAAGAGATCAGTATCAGATGTTTCGCTCTATGCTTATATTGCTTTCAAGGAAAAATTTTTGAAAGAGATTATTTGTAGAAGATTTTTGGAAAATAAGAATAAAACTAATTCCTCAATATCAAGATTATAATTTTTATATATAGAGTAGATGACTTACCCACCATTTCCAGGACCTTTTTAATCATATATGAAGCTAAGTTTGGATAGGAAACAAAAGTCATGACAAACTCTTGAACGTTGGAAAATCAGCATTTGAAATCTAAGTTTTTCACTTGGGTTTGAAAGCCAACCACTGATGCTATATACATCTATCTCAACCTAACATTTGTGGATATTTGCTTGGTTTAGTTTGGTACAAGGTCAAGTGAAAGGGAGTCAAATTTTAGTGGAGATAACATAATGTAGGGAGAATCAGTCTGCCTTGAATTGTGTGGATTTTGCTTAGGATAAAATAATAATTACTGGTTCTGGTGACAATTACACAATCATAGTAACTATGATTAGGGCACATTAACATGCAAACTTGTCTTGCTAGAACAATTACGACTGTGTAGTGACTTTCATTCTCACTAGGTGTCTCATACTTTTGGTTTTGTGCCACATGTAAGCTAAGCTAAGCTTAGAAAATCACCATAGCAACCATGAGTATTAAAAAAAAAATTATTTATACCTTATCTTATGACCAAATATAGTAGAAAAAATATTTAGTATTTTAAGGTCATGACCTCAAGAATAGGTAGCATATATTCCTAAATTTATTTTTTTATTTTTTTTTTTTTTTAAATGTCTTACCTTTTAGGGTTATACATGCAAGTGAATAAATATGTTTAAAAATATTTTGTATTTTATGTCTAAAACCTCAGGAACACTTTGTTTATTCTTAATTTTTAAATTTATTTTTCAAAATAGAAAAAAATCCTGCATCTACATCCTGCTCACCTAATTTTGAAATTTGATGTGAAAAGCTAAACGACTGCATATGACTAAAATATACAACGTTGATTTTATATGGATTTTGCTAGTGTTTACCCAGATTCTTTATGGGCACGTGGTCGAGTGGTTACGTTTGCATTTTGACCATGAGGCCTGGGTTTGAATCTCACCATGGTCGATTTGTCAGGAAAGAGACTTCCTGATGTTATCAGACTGGAGTTGTTGATCTCAGTGTGCAGCACTATTGGAAAGTGCCTGAAAACCATACCAGGGGGTTTGTGAGTGAAATTGGGTAGATGGAACTCTTGGGTGTTGTTGATAGCTGTGCTAGCACAAAGTTGCAAGTAATAGTGGCTGAGGGCTTGAGCGTGCTGACCTTCTTCAAATTGTTGATCACACTAGATAATATGCTCTTTCCCAGAAACTGTAACTAAGGTCTGCTCAGCATAGTTGCAGTATAAACCGCAGGTAGGCTCTGTGGGTGTTGAACAAACACAAAAATGCACCTGATAGAGAGTCGGCAATAGGGATTAGCTAGCCACCCTAGTAGACAGGTATCCTTGAATATGAGTGTCCAGCTATACCCAGATTCTGTAAACTACCAGTATTTGTATCTAGCCTAATTATACTAACATTTAGGATTCTATCAGTCCTTTTACTTCCATGTCAATCATATTTTACTAAGCAGCTAAGTTTTAAATTCAGTGTTGTCTTTCTCCTAGATTGGTTGCCAACCAAGGCTAAAGATCTGCTCTATTCTGACCCATAGCCAGGTAGATGGATCCATGCATTTTCAAATAATATTAATATGAAGGGAACATCAAGTGACTAAGCTTGAATTTGAACTTGGCTCACCAAATCCATTTACTGACCTTTTTAACCAATGAGCCATTCCTATCTCCTTAGATATAAAAAAAAACAAGGGTATCTTATATATTTTCAAATAAAGTAAATTATTTGATTTTGTTTTCACTAAATTTAAATATTCTTAGAAGGCTGCATTGTGCGGTCAATTAAGAAAGCATAATAAAACAAAAATTACTGGGTGGGAACCGCCAAATTGGTTTTGATCCAGATCACTTGTGCTGTTTCTCAGTCATATCTTTGAGGCAAGGCTATAAGTTTCCTTGTATCTGTCTGTTATCTTGACGTTGTCTTACTACTGCCATGCCAAGAGGGGGGGGGTATAAAAAGAATAAATGAAGAGACAACTTCAAGTAGTCTCTGGAATTCTTTGCCTCACTTCTCAATGACTGAGTGATTCCAAAATGCACAAGGGCCCAAACTCTAGCTTTCATTCCAAAATTATTTTAGGCTTCAATCATTATTTATAAACAAGCAAGTGGATTTGAGCACAAGAAGCTGCATGGCACAAGGCAAACCAAAACTGGGTGACTGAGGAAATTGGAATCTATAACTGTTAGAATATCTACTATATAGAGCAACCATATTGAACTACTTTTGAGGGTCCAGTTTTACTAAATTTTTCGATCTGTAAGTTTTTAATCCAAGATAATTTGGGATACTAATGAGAACTGAATTCAAAATTTAGTTGCAATTGGGCCATCGAATGTCAGCCAAGCTGGCAAGAGATTAATGAGGAGCAGTTTTGATTAACAAACAAGTAATAAGTGAATCCTTAATGTCATACATTCTATACATTTTTTTTCACCTCCAGAAAACAATATTAGTGTTAGGGCTGCCAGATTTTGGGCCACTTTTGAAAAATTAGTGCTTCTAAATTTTAAATTGCACTACTTGGAACTTTTGGTTACTTTTAAAAGTATGTCCTACTACTTAACTCATAGCTGGAGGTTTGAATGAAGATGGATTCATACCTTTCTCAATGATACTGACATTCACTTACATACAAATAACCAAGAAAGGCCAAAATCTATAAGAAATGTATATAGGTCTGTCCATATATATATATATATATATATATATATATATATACACACACACACAACAAGAATTTATCCAATCAAGTTTTGTACAAGGTGTGTCTGTTTACTTTTCTATATTTTTTTTCCCCCTGTTTTTGAATTATCCATAATTTTGGACACTACATCAGAATCAAACTTCACTTTACCTTTCATGAACTTTTGACCATCTAGCAAGAAGTGGGTATGGTCAATGTGATGTACAAAATTGACAAAAATCTTGTCTTTCTTATTGGAAAATTAAACAAATAGACCTTGCCAGTTGAATTTCACAAATCTTGTTGCATTGAAGTTTTATATATATATATATATATATATAAATCTCACTGAAGTTTGCTTCAGAGTTTTTATTTCTTTTAAAGGCTAATAAAGATAAATGTGTTTAATGCACATTGTTACAAGTTACTAAATATGCAGATTTTGTGAATATTTGTATAGCTTAACTGCCTAATTTAGTGAATATCCACATGTAGATAAGTTTAGTGTATTTAATGGATTAATTAAAACTCAAACCAAACTATGCCAATTGAGTCGCTCCCTTTTTTCTGCTTACAACCACACCATATTATTTGCAGTTAAGTATAGTATTGAACTTTTCTGGAAACGACCATATTTTCATCTTTATGCTTATTTACCAAGTATAACAAATGTACTGACCAATTTGTGTCTACTACATTTATGCTAATTTGACCAAGTTGCAAAAAACCCAATCCTAATTTATTATTTCTG